CTCCATGCCAGGATATTCCCCCCAGCCATGTGTGGCCATACATGAAACTGACTGGAAATGGGAGCAGTGATTCACTGGGAATGCAAAACTGCAACAGTTTTGGACACTTCATTTCCCCAGTTATACTTCTGACTTTACTATGTCTATTTAATACTAGTGAATGATCTGATTAAGAACTTCAGAGACTGTTTTGATCAGGACAGGGTGAAATCACTGGCAATCTAGACACACACCTAGATCTTCAGTCCAGCAGGCTTTCTTTGAGGTCTCCAGCTCCCACTGACGTCAGCAAAAGATACCTATCTAAAGCCCAAAGAAACCAGGAACAAAGATGGTCTTCAAAGCAAACTGGTTGCTGATGCCATGCTTTGGTGTTCCTTACAAATGAGACAATAAGATTTCACTATGTATACAACTCAGCTGGTTGAAAAGCAGCGTGTGGAGAGGAGGCCTTTTGGCTTCAAACCCTGGTGAGAAACTTGCATGGCACTGCTGCTGTTAAACAGGACAATATTACTTGGTTTTTAATAACCACAATCAAACTAATGCCTCAAGGAAACTCTGCAAAATGTACAATTGATTTAAATGCCACTTTTAGGCTCTCATTAGGCACTCAGAAACTACCAGTTTCTGCCAGGAACAAAAAGGTTATTTCAAAACTGAAGATTATTTCGTTTTTAAAACAGAAGTAGCACCATCAACTCGAAAGACTTTGGGTTAAGAGACTTACAAGCAAGTGAATTATTTTGTGGGCAAAAACCTCGCCAGCCTGGACTCCAACATGAAGCAGGCACTTTGGAAAGCGTTAATCTTTTTGACTGCCTTTGATTTTGATAAAAAATCGCACACTAAATTACCATCCTGCTGGCTCCAATACTGAGATAAGAGAGGGGTAGCAAGTAAGATTCAGATGCTCTTCTCAAGTTAAGCTTGTTTCATCATGCAAGGAATTTGTCCATGATTCCCAGATGTCCAAGGCCAGAGTATATCCCTGTCACAATCCAGCTGGATACTGCAGAATATAATCCATGCTCCTGCTATTGTGCCAACACAGCACAGTTCATTGCTAGTGAGGCCTGTTTTGGTTTGTTTTTTTGCTTGTTTTCTGTGTGCTGTTTTTGCTTCTTTAAGGGGCTTCCATAGTAATTATTGAGCAAAAATAGTTTAAAGAGTTTATTTTTACTACTGGCCAATGACAGTATGATTATGCTATTTATATAATTTTTGAAGCAAAAGACACTCTAATTTGGAGAAGAACTTTTGCTTTAAAGTGACAGCAGATTTTACCCATACATAGACACAGAACTTGTAGCAAAGCCAGGAAATTGCTTGTGGTAAGCAATCTTAACAATAATCCAGTGACCTTCAAGCAGAATAAAATACAAATAACAGACTGAAATATATTTAAAAAAAAAAAATTAATTCTTGTAACTAGCTAACTTTATCGCATGTCCTCCACAAAGCCACACTTGATTCTGTAGTTTCAGCCATGTGAGACCACGGTCTGAGGGGAAACCATAAACATTTGTGTTCTGGGAGAGAAGGTTATGAAAAAAATCTCTGTTTGTACTTACAAACCTGAGTCACTTCAGTTTCCTACTATTAAGTTTCAGCAGAAAAAAGTTCTCTGGCTCACCCTGAGCAGTCACCTAGGGATGATTTTGTGAGCAGTAACACAAGGCACCCTAATAATGGAGAATGACTCCTAATGTTCCCTCTCCCAGATCTCATGAGTGAGGTGTGTGTGGGGCCAGTTTGGACCCAGCAAATACACAAAGAAATCCATATCTTCAGGACAGCATCTCCCACGTCCTGGTAAACAGCTAAGACATGCCATGCTTTGGAGGAAAAAAAGGAGGAATAATAAAGACACTTTAACTGCTCAGTCTCAGGCTATTATTTAACAGCCCTGAGGTTTGATTGTTATTTTTACCCCTTTAGCACATCGTTGTATAAGTTGTTTGGAGAAAAGAGGCTATCTGTGGCTTACATAAAGAGTCCTGTTCCCTATTTCATTGCTGAAAGCTACTCAAGAGAAAGTGCTCACCTTAAAATGGGGCAAAAATATCAAGTGTGGCCTACTCAAAATCAGTGCCTTACATAAACCGGAATCCTGCTCTGCCAATACTGGCGAATAACTGTGCTATAAAGACCAGTTACTGGCATGTATTAAAGGTTCAGCAAAGAGCCCCATAATCACCTTTGAATAAGAAATGAGTATAAAAATGATGTCTCAAATCTCTGTTAATGATCTGGCAGTGCTTTCTGTTTGTAGGAGTTATCCAAGTGCTGGGTGACATGACACTGACCATGGACAAGGAACACGACAGGCAGAAACACTGCCAAGAGACTGATCTGATTTTCTGACCTGGTGCCAAAAACATCTGCAGTGAATTGCAACTGCACTAAAAAATATGAAATAAAATGTGAATCAGGTACAGTAGTTCTGTTTCTAGTGAGTCAGTTAAAAAAAATAAATTTAAATGTCCTCATTAATGTTCTAATGTGAAGAGAGATTGTATTTAATAGCTGTTTATCTATTAAGCTTGTTAAAACAGTTTTGGGGAACTATTTAAATGTTTGAGCTTTATAACAACCACCATCTTCAGCTTTCTTTGGTTCCTGAGTCCCTGAAACATTTTCAGTCAGTGTGTCTGACTCACTTCTGAAATCCCCTTAACATTTGGGTGTCCACTGATGATGCAAACCTGGAGGAGGGAGCTCCCAGCTTCAAAACTGGGGCAAGACAGTATTTTAGCAGAACAAAAGATGATGTTTACGCTTCCTGGGAATAAATCCTTAGAAAATTTTCTCAGTATCAGTTGTGGTATATGAATAAAATAAGTGTACATTAGTGCTAATGGTTTTCTCAAAGACAACAAGAGCATCTTAACTCCTGGTTTTTAGCTCTCCCTTTTGTTTTTTATTTCATTTAGGGCAGAAAGGGTTTTTAATTCCTTCTGTTCAATGCAAACTCTGCAAGACCAACTGAACCCAGCATGATGGAGATATACATACATATATAAAATATGTATATGTATTATACACATATATAATTGCAGTAGTAACAGTGGGATTACATAAAACATAAAGCTTTAAAATGAAAAGTCAGATTTCCAAGGAAAAAAAGTACCTTATGAATAAGTGTACACTGAGACTGTCACAGAAGCACCATGGGATTTCTTCAACAGCATCTCCAGCTGGGTACCATGATTCCCTGGCCTATTCTCTGGAATATTCTGTCAGAGCCATGCACCCACTCCTTCCACGTGCTCTAATCCTTGCACTCTGCCACGGGCAAGATGCTGAACTGCCCACTCCCACACAGACAAGCAGCTTCCACATCAGATGGGAAATGTGTTGGGAGCTTCCAATTATAAAAGAGGTCACAAATGGAGTTCAGGATTTCATCTGAGAAACTATCCTCAACATTATAGTTGGGAGTTCTTCTTCCAGATCTGAAAAAAATGATTCCTTGTCTGCAGCTCTAAAGACATAAATTTCAACAACTTAGATACTGACTACTAGAACTGATGATGAAAGAACATAATATTCTCTGCAAAATATTACATCTACTTTTGCCAGCTCCACATCCCCATTACTAATAACAGACAGTTATTGTCTGGGAAAGCCCCCAGAACAGTGGGAGAACACTTGCAGAAGGAGCTTTCTCCACACATGTCATGAACCCTGTAGCTCTGACCTCACTGGTGAGCAGTACCAGCTGTACTTTAGGTTCCCTCATACCCAAGTTTATAGAATCACAGGGTATTCTGAGTTGGAAGGATCACTGAAGTCCAACTCTTGGCCCTGCACAGGCTAGGAGCATTGTCCAAACACTCCTGGAGCTCTGGCAGCCTTGGGGCTGTGACCATTCCCTGGGGAGCCTGTTCAGTGCCCCAGCACCCTCTGCGGGAAGAGCCTTTTGTGATACCCACCCTAACCCTCCCCTGACACAGCTCCCGCCATTCCCTCAGGTCATGTCCCTGGTCACACAGAGCAGAGATCAGGGCCTGTCCCTCCTCTTCCTCTCCTGAGGAAGCTGCAGAACTGCAGTGAGCTCTGACCTCAGTCTGCTCTTCCCCAGATGAACAGACCAAGTGCCCTCAGCTGCTCCTCGTGTGGCTTCACCTGCAGGCCCTTCACCATCATCTCCATAACCCTACTTTGGACATTCTCTGAGAGCTTTAGATTTTTCTTATATTGTGTTTCCCCAACAGAGAGAAGCAGCAGCTGTGCAGCTCATGGGGATGGCTCATGTTGGGATTTGTGTGCTTGAACAAAAGCCTCTACTGTCACAGCAAGTGGAACTGAGCGGGCACAGGCTGTGCCAGCGCAGGGCTGGACAGCGAGAGAGGCTCTGTCATGTGGAAGAGGCACTATTGAGGTTCATATGCATTGCAGAGGTTTCATTTCTGACTGGCTCTAGTGGGAAATGGAATTGGAACACACCAATCTTTTACAGGTGCACCTTGAAGTTTTTGTACAAAAGGAACACACCTCACTCACACCAACACTCCAGTGTGTGAACCGGAGCACCATGACGGGCAGGTTCACTCGAGAAGTGCATTCCTGGTACTGCCAAAACCCGGCTACAAGTCTGCTAACACAATTTGATACACTTGTGAAAGGTATCCCTACTTTATGCTACTTTGTACTGATAGATGTGACTGCTCTCTGACCACTCAGAGAGGCCTTTGCCAGCCAAAACTGCTCCAAGATCCTGATGCTCCCTCAGATGAAGCATCCTCTGTACAGCACCCAGAGAAAGAACACCAGCCCTGCCCAGCCTGGGGATGCAGGCAGGGCACTGGCCCAAGTGCTGACAAATGGGGAATATGTCAAGATTAAGATTAAGATGTCAGGACACTCTTTCATATAAGATCCTTGTACATTTCCAAGCCTAACCAGCAAGAATGGAGATCTAACCATTGGAAGGGGCAGCTGCCAGCATCCCTTACTCAAGGACATCCTGGAGCTAATGTATTTTAAGGATGTAGCAAATCAGTGTTGTATGATGTATCAAACAGATACAGATACATATCAGATGTATGTCTGTATATACATTGCTAACTTGGCAAAATACTCAAGGTCTATGTGTCAAAAAGACCCTGCCTAGGTGAAGACATGTGTAGAAGTCATCTGCATGGGAAACTTAAATGGAAAATCCTAAACAATCCTAAAAGAGGTGCTGTGCTTGGAAACTTACTCTGAATTCCCGTGTATAAATAATGGCATGAAAAGTCTGCTGGTAGTGCTTTGATTTGCGGTACTACCACAGAGCACCCAAGCTTGGGCAGCTCTGAAGTAAGCCCTCGGTGTGTCTCTCGAGTACTTGGCGTTGGCTGCACTTATAATCGAAGCTGTCGGGTGGCGGCACGCCGGGGACCGAGCCCGCTCTGGAGGGATTCCGTGAGGGACTCCGTGAGGGGCTCGGGCGGCGCCGCCATGGCCGCACATCTCGCGAGAGGCGAGGCGGGAACACGGTGGGGCGGGGGCGCTGAGGGGGTGC